ACAAGTGGCTGTACAACGCCATGGCAACAAAAGTTGTGATTTTCCGTGTTTGTATTTTTTGCACTTTTTAATGAACTTCAGTCCAATAAATTTTCAACGAGGCTTTTCCAGTTTACGACTCTATATTGGCCGGCGTCGCATCGAACGCGTGGCTAGTAATATTTAAATGACAGATGGTTGGGTAGGTTACAAACGAATTTATTATCGTGGCAGGATAAAAGCTCGGATAAAAGCCAATATTGAAATTGCCGTCGTTAAATTATACATTATTATTGCAGATAAGAATTGATTGTCAATAAAATTAAATAGACTTAATTATAATTAAAAGGGCGATCAATTATTGTTGCAAATAACGAATTAAATACGTCATTTTGATAAATATTCATTGGCACTCAATAAATGACATAATTTTATTTATAAACCTCTTAAACTAATAACATGGTTGCCAATTTGCGAATTTACTCTCTATATACTATGGGTATTGGCCAAATGGAATAAATTCGATAATACAAACATATATACATATTAGGGTGTCCGTTATTTACCAACTCGGTTTTTTTATTCGCAGCCCCCTAAATTTTTAGTTTATGACCTAAAAAAAATAAAAAAAAATATGCATATTAAACCGTGCCATGGCACAAAGACGATACATTTTACATTTAAATAACATGGGGTTTCGGCAAGTTTTACATTTATTTTTTTATTGCCAACTTCAGCCCGTGACTAAAGCGCCATAAAGTCACAGCTCGTCAATGTAGAAGTAGATAATATTATATTATGTATCAAGTTTGATAAACGCCATTTTATACACGAATTTAATTTAGGCACGAGCGAGCTTGCGAGCGAGTGCTTAAATTTATGAGTGTATAGAAAAGTTTATAAACGAGGTGCATACCATACTTTCTCTACGATTAATACTTATTATTATCTTAAAATAATTTAAATCAAGAATTTGTATACAGCGCCATCTATGAAACAATAAGGGAATCTGTGTGTCACCGTCAAATGTCACATTTTTACATTTTATAAACACAGATTTTAAAGGTTATAAATCGAAATGTATTTCTTAAAAATTAACAGTTTTTCACAGTCAAAGTAAACAAAATGTTTTATGAGCACTTTACAGTGGAGTCCGTGCCCGAATTTAAGTTATAGTTTACTGCCGGCGAAATTAAAAAGTCAGTACAATGTTCATATAAACTTTTCAAATATTGGCGTTGATAAACTATTTAATACTTTTGTATTTTTGTATTGAGATAAAAAAATAATTTTTACATTTAGTATTATTTCACAAGAAAGGCAATATATTTTAACAATTGTATGACATTTGACAACTGTCAACTAACTTAAAACTAACTTTAGCCCGTGACTAAAAACCTGTTGCTAACTTCAGCCCGTGACTAAAGCGCCATAAAGCCACAACTTGTCAATGTGTATTTAAAAGGTCACTTAGTGTCATGAAAACATGTACGATAAAGGGCGTATTAAAGGTGGGAGTTGAAAAATACATTTAACTTATTTGAAAAGCATAATTGGTGTAGCGGAAATGTCTGCATCTCATACTCAAGAAAACGTATGCGTAACTAAGGAATTTTATTTTTTCGTAAAAATACTTGTTAAAAGAATTTCTACGTCATTAGCTGTACTGAAGGAAAACTTTTTACTGTATAATATTTTATAAAATCGTATAAAATTTTGTGGAATTTCACAGAGAATGTAAAAAAGTAATCGTACTATTATATACTATTATTATTAGTATAATAATTATTGAATAAAACTAGTACCAGATTCGTTTAATGTAATACAAAAAATGGAATTTATCGAAATCTCTTGTCAATAATTTTAACTTATCTCTTTTCAATAATTTTTTTTAATAATACAATGAAAATCAATTATTTTCAAAAATAAACAATTCATTTTCATAAAAATAATGATAATTTTGCAGTCAAAGTAAAAAAATGGAAAAAATTACTATAAGTTTAACTTTAACCTTAAATAACTTTTAAATCAGTAAATTTATGAAAAAATCATAGGAAAGCTTTTGGTTTTTTTATTATCAAGAAATAAACAGTATTACTTATTAGTTTTTTAGTGTGTTGTGGCGAATTTCTGTAATAAATTAATTAAAGTTCTTTAATATTATTTTTTTATTATTTTCGAAACAGTTGAAGATACGTATAGGACATAGTACATAAAATATGTCTACAATTTTATGAAGAATCTAAAAATTTAATATTATACAGGGCGTTTTTTAGAACACGCCTCAATTTATGTATTATCGAATTTATTCCATTTGGCTGAAACACACTTTATAATGATTTTTATAGAAAGCTATACACCAATCAGAGTAAAGCATTCTTTGTCGCACCTAGTGTGCTGTGGAAAATGCTGCTGTAATTGGTTTATTGCTTTTATAGAGATTATATTATATTTAAAACCATTAAATTTAAACGTTCTAATGCTTGAAAGTAAGTAGGTCTGAAATGCGAACCATTATTTTCAAATAAATCGCATTCGCCAAAATCTTGTATTCAAGCTGCAAATCATTAAAATTTCATTTAGACTCTATTGATTTAAACTGAATTTCGGTTGAAAAAAGGTGCTTTACAGTAAAAAATCTGCACTGCAGGTGCAGCAATTAAAGGCCTTGGATTAGTTGACTCTTTCTCCAAGCGAAATCTTATGATTACGTACTTGTAAAAAGTTTTAAGGGCTTTATAACAATGGCGTCCTTTAAATTGTTTTTTTTTATTTTGTTCAATTTATATTTTAATATTTATTAATTTAAATAACAATTCATAGGAAGTAAGGAATTATTCGAAATTATTATACATAAACAGAGAGAAGTGCCACAAGGACCAGTACTGGGACCTGTGCTTGTTATTACGAACACTAATGATCTTACTGCATGTGTAAAAGCTACAAATACTTGTATAATAATAACATAATTTAAAAAAAATGGAGCATTTTTTCAAGATGAAATTTTGAGTAAAATGTATAATACAGGGTGTCCCAGAACTCGCGCCACATAGAAAACCGGAACGTGCCGAAAGTAACGTGAAACACATATTTGAAAATTAAAATTGTCTAACGCAAAGGATAAGCGAGATAAGAATAAAAAACGATAGCCAATCCCAATAGATGGCCATAGGGAATTCTTTAAATTGCTAGGATACTTAGGTTGCATTGTTGATAATAAAAAATATGTAAAATATTTGGTCCACTGGAATCCAATTCATTGTGACACTGCTGTCAAACTCCTGTCATTAATATTATATTAGGTTATAAATTGAGTTATTATAAATAATGTTTTCCTTAGATGAATATACTGAAATGATAATTATTTATTTATTTAGTGTGGGCGCAACGCCAGGGAGACAACGCGAGTTTTTTCCCAGCCCTTTCCTAATCGTTATTTTAAAACATTGGCGTTCTGAAGTATAAGTCATAGATTAATAACCTCATTTTTGAAAGCTTTTGACAACTTAGTAAATACAGTTGGCCAAAAGATTTTTAAATGTTTTTAATACAACAATGTTCTATCGTCTCCTAGCAATTTTTAAAGCTCTTATAAGAGTATACGTATAACCTAGGCGGGAGCTCTCGGTATTGGCTGCCGCTTTTTTGCTCTCATTCGATTACACTATTACCTAGAAATTTTTTATTTTTAAATTTGGCATCTCCATTGCTATCGGCACGCCCCCTTTTTCTCTGTGGCGCGAGTTCTGGGTCACCCTGTATATACATACAGGGTGAGTTTTAAGTTGACGCGTTCCTTTTAACAGTGTGTACAAATCAGCTAGACAAATAAATATTTTAAGTAACTTTTTTATCAAAACTCAAAAATAAAAAGGTTATAGCCCATCAAAGTTTAATTAAATTTTAAGCCGGTCCTGGCTATTGTTAACGAAAAACAGCCATAAAAATATCAAAATAAACAATGCAAAATGTCCCATAACAATGTAAAACTTCTCCCTAATGGAAAAATTAAAGGATAAAAAAATTACAAATTTTTAGCCATTTTTCGGATAGCTGTATCTTCGTTAAAAATGGTCGTATTGGAGCCGTAAAAAAGCAATTTTAAGCTTGAAGTGTCTAGTTTTGAGATTTTTAAATGAAAAATAAAAAAGCAACGTGTAACGCTCAATCCTAACGAATACCTTAATAAAAAACAATTCGATTTTTTTTTGGGTTTTTTTTTTGGTCCACAGACTTGGAAAATATTGTTCTGACTTAACCACCATATGGACCGGATAACTTGTATTTAGCTTCAATTTGCTTTTGATACGACCATTTTTCGGAATTTGAATGGAAAAGCATCTCAGCAACCAAAGATTGCACAGAAAATTTAAGGTGGGTTTTAAAAACTTGAATAAACGTTCTACAAGAGTTTGCTATTGTTTTTTTGAAAAAAAAATCCATACTAAAAAAATTTTTGGTAGAGACTGTATTTACATTTACTAAATGTCATTTAGTGGCTAAATTTTAGTCTATGAACTGGACTGGAAAAAAATAGGCAAATGGGACTAATCTTGAAAAAAAAAACAATGAAAAAAAAACCTGAAAAAAACAACAAAAAAAAACGGACCGTCACATCTCTAATCATAAGGTTCTTGTACTGGGGTACTCCAAGGGACTAAGATAAAATTTTCAAAATGCAAAAGGACTAAAAAGAACTTCTCGTCAAAAGAACTGCAAGCTACAAACAGAATTTTATCAGGAAAAGCATACTTACCGTTCACACTCTATACGTTTTTTTTTTTTTTAATATATGCATGTAAATAAAATATTTAAAATATTTAATTGGTTAAAAATGGAAAAATTAAACGACTTTTTATAACAAGACATTTTTAATTTCCGGTAAACTACTAAGGTAAAAATAAATTAAATAAATTAAAAATATTTAAATAAATAATGGAATAATGAATAAATAGCACGATAATTGATGTTCAATAAAACGGCCAATATTTCTGAGTTTCAAAAATCCTCCAGTCGGTAAATCATGGCTTGTAGGCGGTGTAAGCCAAACTTTGAGCATCATTTAAAGCCCTTTTTCCCCACCCCCCGCTACCGCCCGATTGCCATTGAGAGCTACCGCCATATCCGCCGCCTCCACTGCTGTGACCGCCACCGTAACCACCGCCGCCACCACCGGAGGACCATCCGCTGCCACCCCCGCCGCTGTGTCCTCCACCCCCGCTGTGTCCTCCACCCCCTCCTTGCTTGGACTGCATGAGTTTTTTTATGATCATCAAACCGGATAAGAGAATAGCGATTTTGGCGGTGATGAGGGCTTTCTTGGCGAGAATCCACACACCACCGAGAGCTAAAGGCATGAGACTCATGAATTTGCCCATCATCATCCCCATCATCATGTCTCCCCCCATCATACCGCCCTTCTTGTCCCCCTTCATCTTCATCTTCATTTTCTTCAGGATCTTCTTCAGCTTGCGACCTTCAGCGCCTTCCTCGTATTCAACGCCCTCTTCCTCATCTTCACTTTCTTCGTTGTCTTCTACTAATCTAGGCAGTGAGATGTCGAGGGACCTGGATTTGATGAAATTGTTGACTCTATCTACAACCATGTTGCTTAGAGCGGTATCCTTGTCCTCCAAAGCACGAGGTAGACTGACGTCCAACTGCTCCTCAGTGGTTGCGGGCTCTTGTTTGGCGTCTGCAGCGCGTACCAGGGTAAAACCATCCACTAAGTCTAACTTCTCCATGCGGCTCAATCTGTCCATGAAGACGATGGCCTTTTTCTTGAGGCACGGCGAGAAACCGTCGGGTTTAAGTTTGCAATCGTCGTAGAGTTTCATGGCGAATCGTACGCCGAAACCCATGTCTTGTGCTGACGCCCAGTAGATGGCCAGAGCCATAACCACACAAGATGATAATTTCATATTTTATTTATTAATGTTCAGCTGGTACACTACACCTCGGTCAAACAGCCATGGACAACTGACATAGAGCCTAGACATTATTCGGCTTTTATACTCTTCTTCAAGTAATGCAAATGAAGAAAGGATAGTTAATAAATGATATGGTTTATGAATAATACACACAGACAATTAGTGGACAATTACAATAGTACCGGTCTTCTGCCTTTAAGTATTCAGTGGTAGCACGCATTATTAAAAAATTTGATTACTTAAAAAAAATAATGGCTTAAAATAATTAATTATAATAATATAATCATTATAAAATTTATCTTCATTACTGTATTTTTTATATTTTATCATAGATTCGAATAATAGCAACTTTTATAAAAATGATAATCTTTGTACTCACTTTTACCCGTCAGTTCTATGTCCAATGTTAAAATTCAAAATTCCTGCGAAATATTGAAGTTTAAACTTCAAGTCCTCGTTTAAACTCAAGTGTTGGTAAAACAATTACCTACAGAGCGAGCCCTTTGCACAAGTTGTGGTGAATGCACGTATAGTTGTAGTCAAAATTTCAGTACTGTGGTGAGTAGTTATATATATTTTATTGTAATATATATAAGGCTATATGTGATTTGTTGAAAAGTAGAATCCACTAATAAATCAGTAAAATACTTAATTAAAATACTTAATTCCGAATTATAATCTCAAATTTGTATCCCATTCATCAGTACCGTGTCGTCAGTTCCATGTTTGATGTTTCGGTTATCTTTTTTTCGCAAACTTTAATTTAAATTCTGCTTGCGCAAAACTTGTTTATTTAATGTCATTATAAACTCATATAAATTTGGTGTTGGTCCCATATCTAATAAATGAGATATCGGTATACCCAAAACCACCAGCCGCCACTGATGTGTGGTAGGTATTATTTGATTTTAAGATATTTAATGTATAATATGCTTAAAATTGCAATAAATCTTATATTTTCCAATAAATTATGTATTTAATTAGTACCCTGGTATACTCGTCACTTCCCTTGCATTCAAATTTAGAAAACACAAATATTTCGAAAACTGTTTGAAAAAGTGACTGGCCTGGTCTGAAACAGTATACATAGATAATATAATAAATATACTAGTATATTTATTATATTATCTATGTTCTCATAACAAAAAACAGTTTAATTTTCTCCGAAAACTATATAAACAAAATGAGGTCAAAAGTTGCCCAACTTTTGTAGAATCACCTTATAATTTAAAAAAAGTTTATCACAATTTTGTTATTTTTTTTGTGTTTTCCAAGTTCCAAGTAATTATTTGCTACTCTGGTATACATATTATGTATTTCAATTATTTAAATTTTTAATTGATATAATAACAAAAATTAACTCAAAAATTGAGAACGGAATTACACATCTCGTTGAACAAAATAATTATGTCCAGTTTAAATTTTTTTAAATATTGTAATTATTTAACTAGTTTAAATCTTAATATTTATTTACTCGCTTTTTAATTTGAATTTGTTATACTTATATATTTGTATGAAAACAGTTTCACAACATTTAAAGTAAATAAAATGTTTTTTCTACTACCACCTTTAAAACTTTACTTTATTTTTGTATAGATGTCGCTTTATACAAATATTTAATTTGATTTTTTTTTTTGATAATATTCAGTATTTTTTGTAAAAAAATTAATTAATTTAATTAAGCACGCAAGCTCTCTAGTGTCCACATTAAATTCAAGACTAAAATGGCGTTTATCGAACTTGATAAAATGTATGTCATAATACCTTTTATAGGTAATATATTATAGTATAATACTATTAATTATTATTTAAGAATTAATATTAATTGTTTTTTAACAATTTGTATTGACTTTGTATTTATAAAAAACCCTTAGAGCGGGTGTAAAAAGTTGGGTTAATCCTTTGCCAAAAACTTTATCCTGCAAATTCCCAAGTGTCAAAACTTTAAAATTAATTTTCCTTGAAGTATAAAAACTGATATAGTTTGATAAATCTGTCAACATTTATTTTAAACCTGCAAAAAATCAATTGACCTAAAAAGTGGCTTTGCATTAAATGCATAAATTTTATTAAATGACCCCATTACGGACTTTTAATTAAATTTTTCGCAAATAATTACATTACATTCTTTGTTAGACACACACTTTTATTTGCACAAAAATACCTTTTGAACATTTTTGCCTTTGGTATTTGAAATTATTTCTTATTTAATCTGCCATCTTAAAATTATAATAATAACAAAATATGGTGAATGTTAAAGTGATTTTAAGAAGAATCCATATGAAATATATTTTTATTTATTTAATACATGATTTAAAGACATCCTTCTAAACGATTTTACATAAAATTTAAAAACAAAAATAAACTTTTTACGCAGAAATCCTTTGAGATTTTACAACTTCTTTTAGTGGAATACAAAAGGAATATTTTTAAAATGGTAAAACAATCTTGTTGAATTTTATACTAAAAGATAACAAGTACTTGTTAAATTGTAACGAAAACTTTCTTTTATTAAAATAAGAAAAATATAGATAAATTTATTATATATAAGTATATTAGGGTGGCCCAAAAAAAAAGAATATTTTTTTTCTTCTCGTCTCTTGTGAAAATATGTTGGTTTGTCATGTTTTAAGAGCCCTGTCAAAATATAAGCTCGATTAAAAATTTTGTAGGGGTCGCTCAAGATTTTTAAAAATTTTCGAAATCGTCAAAAATTGGATTTTTGTTTTATTTTCATTCTTTTTCTCGTCTCGATAATATTTTTCGGGTTGAAAATAATAAAAATTCTGTAAATTTCAAATCAATATTTTGATTTCTAAAGGTCGCTAAAAGTTCGTTGATATTTATATTAGAGGTCGCTCGAAAACATTCAAAATACTCTACTTTGAAAGTTAAAAAAATCTTGAGCGACCTTTAGAAATTAAAATATCGATTTGAAATTTTCAGAATCATTATTATTTTTAAATTAAAAAATAATATAGGAACGAGAAAAAAAACAAATAAATATTTTAAGTAACTTTTTTATCAAAACTCAAAAATAAAAGGGTTATAGCCCATCAAAGTTAAATTTTAAGCCGGTCCTGTCTATTGTTAACGAAAAACACCCATAAAAATATCAAAATAAACAATGCAAAATGTCCCATAACAATGTAAAACTTCTCCCTAATGGAAAAATTAAAGGATTAAAAAATTACAAATTTTTAGCCATTTTTCGGATAGCTGTATCTTCGTTAAAAATGGTCGTATTGGAGCCGTAAAAAAAGCAATTTTAAGCTTGAAGTGTCTAGTTTTGAGATTTTTAAATGAAAAATAAAAAAGCAACGTGTAACGCTCAATCCTAACGAATACCTTAATAAAAAACAATTCGATTTTTTTTTTTGGTCCACAGACTTGGAAAATATTGTTCTGACTTAACCACCATATGGACCGGATAACTTGTATTTAGCTTCAATTTGCTTTTGATACGACCATTTTTCGGAATTTGAATGGAAAAGCATCTCAGCAACCAAAGATTGCACAGAAAATTTAAGGTGGGTTTTAAAAACTTGAATAAACGTTCTACAAGAATTTGCTATTGTTTTTTTGAAAAAAAAAATCCATACTAAAAAGAGTTTTTGGTAGAGACTGTATTTACATTTACTAAATGTCATTTAGTGGCTAAATTTTAGTCTATGAACTGGACTGGAAAAAATTAGGCAAATGGGACTAATCTTGAAAAAAAAACAATGAAAAAAAAAACCTGAAAAAAACAACAAAAAAAACGGACCGTCACATCTCTAATCATAAGGTTCTTGTACTGGGGTACTCCAAGGGACTAAGATAAAATTTTCAAAATGCAAAAGGACTAAAAAGAACTTCTCGTCAAAAGCACTGCAAGCTACAAACAGAATTTTATCAGGAAAAGCATACTTACCGTTCACACTCTATACGTTTTTTTTTTTTAATATATGCATGTAAAATAAAATATTTAAAATATGTAATTGGTTAAAAATGGAAAAATTAAACGACTTTTTATAACAAGACATTTTTAATTTCCGGTAAACTACTAAGGTAAAAATAAATTAAATAAATTAAAAATATTTAAATAAATAATGGAATAATGAATAAATAGCACAATAATTGACGTTCAATAAAACGGCCAATATTTCTGAGTGTCAAAAATCCTCCAGTCGGTAAATCATGGCTTGTAGACGGTGTAAGCCAAACTTTGAGCATCATTTAAAGCCCTTTTTCCCCACCCCCCGCTACCGCCCGATTGCCATTGAGAGCTGCCGTTGAATTTTATACTAAAAGATAACAAGTACTTGTTAAATTGTAACGTAAACTTTCTTTTATTAAAATAAGAAAAATATAGATAAATTTATTATATATAAGTATATTAGGGTGGCCCAAAAAAAAAGAATATTTTTTTTCTTCTCGTCTCTTGTGAAAATATGTTGGTTTGTCATGTTTTAAGAGCCCTGTCAAAATATAAGCTCGATTAAAAATTTTGTAGGGGTCGCTCAAGATTTTTAAAAATTTTCGAAATCGTCAAAAATTGGATTTTTGTTTTATTTTCATTCTTTTTCTCGTCTCGATAATATTTTTCGGGTTGAAAATAATAAAAATTCTGTAAATTTCAAATCAATATTTTGATTTCTAAAGGTCGCTAAAAGTTCGTTGATATTTATATTAGAGGTCGCTCGAAAACATTCAAAATACTCTACTTTGAAAGTTAAAAAAATCTTGAGCGACCTTTAGAAATTAAAATATCGATTTGAAATTTTCAGAATCATTATTATTTTTAAATTAAAAAATAATATAGGAACGAGAAAAAAAATTAAAATTAAAAAAAAATCCAATTTTTGACGATTTAAGTAATTTTTAAAAATCTTGAGCGACCCCTAAAAAATTTTTAATGGTGCTGATCTTTTGACAGGGCTCTTAAAACATGACAAACAAACATATTTTTACAAGAGACGAGAAGAAAAAAAATATTCTTTTTTTTTGGGTCACCCTAAAGTATATACTTATGTGGGATTGTTGTGTAATTAAGCAACTTTTGTCTAATATAACCAACCTTGTAGCTCTGTAAATAAAACAGAACAATACTTGGTGCACCCTGTATAGTAAATTTTATATTAAATTATATTTTTCTACAACAAGAAAATTCTATTTGGTAGTTACAAAGCAAAAACATAAAAAGTCGAAGAAATTTCATCATCTTGAAAATAAATATTCAGATTGTCATTAATGCTAATTAGCATCAAAAAAGATTTTTTTTTAATAAAAAGTGAGATTTCTTTTATTAAATAGTATTTTTAGGTATGGCAAGTGGGACGTACAGTGTACATGCTGTTTTTGGAGGCAAAGAGAATCTAAAATTTTATTCATTATCGCATGCTTTGCATATCAAAGCCTTAAGTAAAATTATTTTCCGTGCTTTGGATTTTAATTTTTTTATATTCACTTATTATTTAAGTTTACAGATAAAGAAAATTATATAAAACATTTTTTCTACTCCCACATTTAAAACGCCCTTTATCGTACATGTTTCCATGACACTAAGTGGCCTTTTAAATACACATTGACAAGTTGTGGCTTTATGGCGCTTTAGTCACGGGGTGAAGTTATCAACAGGTTTTTAGTCACGGGCTGAAGTTAGTTTTAAGTTAGTTGACAGTTGTCAAATGTCATACAATCGTTAAAATAAAGTGCCTTTCTTGTAAAATAATACTAAATGTAAAAATTATTTTATTATCTCAATACAAAAAAATACAAAAGTATTAAATAGTTTCTCAACGCCAATATTTGAAAAGTTTATATGAACATTGTACTGACCTTTTAATTTCGCCGGCAGTAAACTATAACTTAAATTCGGGCACGGACTCCACTGTAAAGTGCTCATAAAACATTTTCTTTACTTTCGCTGTGAAAAACTGTCAAGAAATACATTTCGATTTATAACCTTTATAATATAAAAATTTGTCATTTGACGGTGACAGATTCCCCTATTGTTTCATAGATGGCGCTTTATATAAATTTTTGATTTAAATCATTTTAAGATAATAATAAGTATTTGTCGTAGAAAAAGTATAGTATGCACCTCGTTTATAAACTTTTCTATACACTTAATAATTTAAGTACTCGCTCGCCAGCTCGCTCGTGTCTAAATTAAATTCGTGTATAAAATGGCGTTTATCAAACTTGATACATAATATACTATTTGTTTTCCCTTAAAAACACTATTAAATAATACACACTGTTTCACTTTTGTACACTATTTTTAAAGTATGTATTTTTTAAATTATTTATTTATAAAAATAACTTTTTTTGCTAACCAAAGTAAAAAATTAATATTCATGAATTAGATTTTTATGCTTAAAAACATGTAGTTTACAAAGATTTTTAAGAAAAACGCTCAGACACTTAAACTTTAGATTTTTATTTTAAATCTTATAATAATTATTTATTATAAGTTTATTTTTGAATTTTTAATTAATTTTAAAGAGAAATGTGCACTTTGAATTTTCGATTAAAAAAATAGAGTTGTTATTTAATATAAATGTGCAAAATGTGGTGGGGGAAAATGGTGGGGAAAAATGTAAAGTTATAATTTATAAAGTTAATATAACTTTAAATTAATTTTTAGAAATAATTAATTTTTTGAAATAAGATGTTTAAAAATTAGCTGCAAAAATGGCGAATGCGCCGGGATTAATACACGAAAGATAAGATATAATTCATTCAAAGATTTAAAAAGTTACATCAAATCGATATAATCCATCCCATAGAAAAATTTAAAACTTTAAAATTTATTTTTAAAACCAAATTAAAGAAAATGTAGTTGTTATTTTTAAGATCTTCTATGTACATGATTTTAATAAAATACAAGAAGACTTTAAAAGTTTATTATTATGCAATTTTTACCAGGTTACATAAAATTTTATTTAAAAAGGATTTTATGTCTTAACCTTGTCTCGTCTTATTTTTATAACACTTTCAAGATAGAAAATTTGTATGTAAACTGAGAACTTGACACCGATAATATAAAGTGGTTTGGTCATAAAACTAAAAAGGTTTGACAATAAAGAGACAAAAAAAATATTTTGCCAGTACAATTTTACATTATTTATTTACCTTGCAGTCTCTTTAAACTGCAAATATCTGCACAAAAGCGCTTCAACATCCTTTATCATATAAAATACGTTCTCAAAAATGCATAATTCATATTTCCCTACCTCCCTAAATAATTCAAAGGCGCACAATTACCGTTTTTTTGGCTTCAATGTGAGGTACAATTTCTTATTGTTCGAATAAGAATTGCTGCGCCCAAAATAAACAAACTTTGAGCTGCTCAAGCAAGGCTTTTGTTGCAAGCCCGTTCTCGAGAGCATAATGGAAATATAAATTTCTTGTCAGTTTAAATTCATTATATCACAAAATGCTTGGTAAACGAATCCCGAGAAGAAACCACTTTTGAGAGGGTTTGATTTTTTTAAAGGATAATGTCAAATATTATTGTATAATTTTAAACGTTGTAGTCTTAACCAAGTTACCTAATTAAATTTAGCTTAGCTCGCGTGGTCTAAAAAAATATAAATAAATGGGTGTCCCACTTTTACACTTTATTTTTAAACGCTTAAGTGAAATTATGTGTGATTTTACTAGAAAAGTCACCATCAATTTTTTTAAATTTTTTATACACAATTTTGTATAAAATTAAATTTTATTTTCTTTATTTCTTTATTATGTGAACACACGTGAATGTTGTCCAATCATTGGATTATTAATAGTCAGTAACTATAGCAAATTAAAAAAAGAAAAAATTGTGTATTGAATAAAAAAGTTTAATGTCAGTTTTATTTATGATTAATAAAAATAACCTGTAGACATAAAACAGGTAAAAAAATGTTAATAATTTTATTTTTTCCAAAATCCCTGTTTTAAAAATAACAGGCTTAAACTGTGAACAGAGCCTTTTCCTCACAAAAATTATTTAGAAACCTCTAAATATTGTTTTTCTACTCCCACCTTTAAAACGCCCATAGTCGTACGTGTTTCCATGACACTAAGGGACCTTTTAAAAATACATACAAAATACGTTTGTACTGACTTCACACGATAAAACAAGAAAGTTTTTCCTCTATCATTTTTAAATTAGAGCTAAAAAATTTGTATAGATGTTGCTTTATACAAATAAACTTAATACACACTTTGATTAAACACTCGCTCGCAAGCTCGTTCGTGACTAATTTAAATTCGTGACTAAAATGTCGTTTGATACATAATATACTATTATCTCCTTTATTTAATATACTATTGTATTAAGTTACTTAATGTACTATTTGAAAAAAGTGAGGTTAAAATCGTTTGACAGATGTCAGATTGGAAAAAAGTGAGGTTAAAACCCCTTGACAGTCCTGTAAAACATTACATTCTGTTTGTCGTATATTTATGGTATTCAATTTGTTTTATAAACTTTTCAAGAAGACTTGTTTATTATAAACTCACCCCGAATGCTACGCTCGTGTCTAGTTAAACTCGTAACTCATAAAACATGTTACATACTACATAAACTATGTTACAAAGAGTACTATATTTTAAATGCCATGATTACTATCATTACTAAATCATGATTGGGCAGTATTATTCAAACATTGTTATGTTTCTAGAAGGTAAAAAAATATCATTAATCATTTATTTACTTACTTAACTACACATTGTTACCATAGACTTAAATTAGCAAATACTGTTATGTTAAATATTTGTCTGTCTGACAGTAGGTACAATATTTATAGTATTTATCTTAAATGATAAAATAACCTTAAACCAAATATAATTGGCTACAATATTTAAAAGCATATGGGGTATATTCAAAATTAGTTTTACTTTTTGTTTTCTTATTTTACAGTGAAATAAAACACTTTGTAAAACTACCTCAAAAGTCAACCAACTCCATCATCTCATACATATAAATCTAAGTGAAAAGTTCAATACGCCGACAAGGAATCAGAAGGGAGTTTTTTGAAAGATCGCCCGACTCCTTATTGATTAGGCGAGGTTAGATTTTTATGCCAAATGGGTCAACTTGCAAAGCATTGACAAACACATGAACGAAATAATTTTTGGATCTTTACCAATGGAAACCCGCCGTCAGCGGGCTAGCATTCAATTGTCATATGCATACCAGAATGCGAAAGATTTATATAACATGCTCTCTTAAAATGAATTAGTCAAAAATAAATTTAAAAAAAGTTCTGACCCAGCCGGGGTTTGAACTCAGGTCTGTCGCTTCTCAAGCTTGTCAAGCGTATGTCATAACCAATGAGACATCAGTCACTTTTATAAAAATCAATTTTATTTGTCTATAAATATTGCTCATAATATTTTTTCTCAAATAAAACCAATTTTTAATTTTACAATTTTTTTGGGTCAATGCTATGCAATAATAAACAAAACAAAATATCTGCACCTCAATTAATTTTTAATGAGAATTTTAATCTTTACTTAATTATGAAAATAAGACCGAGGCATATTTAAGTTTAAGAATAAATGGACCCTCCATTACAGAATTGCTGCAGAGTGTAAAACTTTTTTATGAGCCATTAATTATAACAGCAATGAAAGTTAATGACAAGCTGCGATACTAAAGTTTTATTTACGAACATTTGAAAACAAATTAGTTGAAATATGGTGATGGTTTTGCCAATTTAAATTTAAAAACGAATCTTTACATGTTATATACACGTCAAATCCAGAGTTTCTGTTAGAGAAGTGATTGACAAGTTGCCTTTAAAAAAATAATGATAACCTCACTTTTAAAGTTATAATTTTAATCATTAAACCTATATAAATGTTATTGAATTTTAAACTTAATTTATACAGATACGTATTTTTAAGAAACTTGTCTGTTCTTTGTTCGTAAAGTTTAGCAAAGCATTTCAGTGACATCCTGTATAATCATGTGGTAGATTATTTATTAAAAAAATTAATCATTAAACCTATATAAATGTTATTGAATTTTAAACTTAATTTATACAGATACGTATTTTTAATAAACTTGTCTGTTCTTTGTTCGTAAAGTTTAGCAAAGCATTTCAGTGACATCCTGTATACTCATGTGGTAGATTATTTAATAAAAATAAATAAATTTGTCATATTAAACATTAATTATTATTTTTTTAATTTTGCAGTTTTTAATTATTATAAATATTTAAACCAAATGACAAAAATTGTAAAACAAATTTGAAATTACCTTTAGGATGAAACGCTTTTATTAACGATTATTCAATATAAATTTTATGAAATTCGAGGGTTTTAATAAATTTTAAGTTAAGGAGTATTTGCAATGGAATGTTATTTGTAAAAAAATTCTATCTACTTTAATATAATTTAAAAAAAAATAGTTTTTTTATTATGGGTCATTTTCAAGAAACACCCGCTTTCAGGAAAATGAAGATCAAAATTTTTGTTTTGCTTATATTGACTTTGGGTTGGATTTTTATAAATGTTTAGAGTTTTGTTTACTTACATTTAAGACAGGCAGTGCCCTTTTTAATTTTTTTTTACATTTTTTTAAAGAAAAATGTGTTTAGCTAGCTTAATATGTGTGACCAATTTGAAATCCAAAATTTAATTCAATAAAAAAAAGTAAATAAAATGTAGACCTACCTGTACTTAGTTCACAAACTTTTGACTCCAATTTTTTATTTTATTTTTTATTAAAAATTGTATGAAAATTGTATACTTGAACAATAACAACTTAGATTTCTAAATTGTAGACACCCTTTTTCTTTGACTATAAGCTGGTGAAACTCTTGCGTCCCTTTTAGTACTTGTATATTGCGTGGAATTTTCCCTTGGATGTAATCTATATCATAAGTTGTAATCACAAATAATTTTAAATTGGTTCATCATAAACTATAGTATACTTTTAATAAAAGCGACGGTAAATATCCAATTTGTTGTCGAAAAATTCTATTGCGTTACTCTAAATTCCATTGCGTTACCATAAGGTAACATAATGGACTCGGTAACGCAGTGGAAAAAGTTTTGGGAAACCATATTTAAAAAATAATATTAAGACATTACAGTCATTAACTACTCTCAATGAGCTTTAGTGCTCTAAAATAAACATAAACATGAAAAATAGTATTTTTTCTTACCTTATTTTTATTATTTTTTTGAGTAACTTAGCGGACAAACAATTATTACATTCGCGTTACCGCATCTTTTTCCTGATTGAATAAATAAATTCAGCTGGGTAATGTGTACGTCCGAACATCATTTGTTGATCACGTGAGTGCCAAAAAAGTTGCCATATATATGTTTTTTTAAATATTCTATCGGTAACGCGACGGACGTAACGCAACGGAAAAAATGTCTGGGACATAAGTAAAATTTAAAAAAAGTATATTAAAATTAATTAATTTATATATAAATTATTTTCTGTATTAACTAAGGATGCTATGGATTGCTATAAAGCAACACAAAGTTATGGTTATTTAATATTAAAAAAAAAACATGTATACATATATGTAAGTTTTATAAAAAAAAGTAAATAAAATGTAGACCTACCTGTACTTAGTTCACAAACTTTTGACTCCAATTTTTTATTTTATTTTTTATTAAAAATTGTATGAAAATTGTATACTTGAACAATAACAACTTAGATTTCTAAATTGTAGACACCCTTTTTCTTTGACTATAAGCTGGTGAAACTCTTGCGTCCCTTTTAGTACTTGTATATTGCGTGGAATTTTCCCTTGGATGTAATCTATATCATAAGTTGTAATCACAAATAATTTTAAATTGGTTCATCATAAACTATAGTATACTTTTAATAAAAGCGACGGTAAATATCCAATTTGTTGTCGAAAAATTCTATTGCGTTACTCTAAATTCCATTGCGTTACCATAAGGTAACATAATGGACTCGGTAACGCAGTGGAAAAAGTTTTGGGAAACCATATTTAAAAAATAATATTAAGACATTACAGTCATTAACTACTCTCAATGAGCTTTAGTGCTCTAAAATAAACATAAACATGAAAAATAGTATTTTTTCTTACCTTATTTTTATTATTTTTTTGAGTAACTTAGCGGACAAACAATTATTACATTCGCGTTACCGCATCTTTTTCCTGATTGAATAAATAAATTCAGCTGGGTAATGTGTACGTCCGAACATCATTTGTTGATCACGTGAGTGCCAAAAAAGTTGCCATATATATGTTTTTTTAAATATTCTATCGGTAACGCGACGGACGTAACGCAACGGAAAAAATGTCTGGGACATAAGTAAAATTTAAAAAAAGTATATTAAAATTAATTAATTTATATATAAATTATTTTCTGTATTAACTAAGGATGCTATGGATTGCTATAAAGCAACACAAAGTTATGGTTATTTAATATTAAAAAAAAAACATGTATACATATATGTAAGTTTTATAAAACGCTAATGGGACATGCGAAAATGTGTGTTTCACAAGTTTTAAAATTAAAAAAAAAAATATTTTGAAATAACTAAACAAACATTTTCTGAAAGAGTTTACTAAGGGCTTGTTAGGCTTTCACTTGGTTTTTAAATCAATAAGATTCTATAATTTTTAACAAAGTTATTGGAATTCAAACTTACGGACAGCGGAAGGCGGGTGTTTTTTGAAAACAACCCTTATAATTTGTTCAACATTATGGACATATATAACGTTTAAAAGTTTATCGTGAGAATGTAGCAGTAGGCGATGCGACGCGTCGCGACGGTGCTAATTGAGAAATCGAATCGCTGACCCGGAAATGTTTTTGCAGGAAAAACTAGCCAAACGACCTGAATTATATCCAATTTACTTTTTAGCTTTTTAATTTACGACAATTATGATTTTGACGAAAAAAAGCAGTAACAAAAATACCAGATATCAGAAACTAACTGCATATAAAGAGGTTATCTTCATTCAAAAAACCTTCTAGGCTTTAAAAATAATTTAGACCAATTGCGAAAAGTTTTTTACCTCCTAGTCTGAAAAAAATTCGTTTGGACCAATCAAAAAATTCGACTACTGTCAGATCTATCTTACCTTACTTTTAACATTTATTAATAATTGTTATAATCGTACGTTTTATGTACTGTTTAAGATATAAAATTATGCTTAAACATTTTAAGTCATGCGGATGAATGTCTTTTTGTGCTTTGCTCAATTGTAGGCCTCAGCTACGCGTCGGCATTCAAACTTTGAGCTCAGCACAGCACTCACTTTTTAGCCTTATGAAATAAATAACTATTTATGGTACCTAAGTTATATAAAATAAGTTTTCCTTTTGGTATATAACAAGATTTAAGATAAAAATGTATACAAAAGTTACAAAAATGTCTCCCTGGTGGCTCGTTTTGTAAATTTTCCTCGTGAGAAAAAATGACGTCTTATGACATTATTTTTTTTATCTACTCCCACATTGACCTAATGGCGTTTTAGTCAAAGGTAAAGTTGGCTTTATTATAATTTGCGAAAAAGTGAGGTTAAATTCCTCAGATGTCTGATGAACTAATGTCATAAGACGTAGGAGCGGGTTTTGTAATGGACAAGTGCGACAAAAATTCTATAAAAAAAGTAATTTTATACCTTAAATTTAATTTGGTCGAATTTTACTTTAGATAGTTGGTATCACAGTCATTGGTTTGACAGTTAATGTCAAAATCGATTCGCCATGCCGTCCTTAATTTACTTATTTACAATAAGCGGCTGTTAATGTTAAAGAAGAAAAAAAGGATTTTCTTTGGTGTTAAACAAAATTTATTGCCAGAAAATTCTCGTAAGTACTAGAAAAATCATAAAAATATTATAACAAATATGCAAAATATTATGCTGTTTAAAGTATAGCCAACCTATAAAATCAAAATTTTGGGTGGGATAAAGTATCTCATTACAGCACCAGATGCGGTGTTATAATGAAGTCATTATGAACGCAAAATAGATATTAGTATATTATGTATTAAGTTTGATAAACGCCATTTTATACACGAATTTAATTTAGGCACGAGCGAGCTTACGAGCGAGTGCTTAAGTTAAGGAGTGTATAGAAAAGTTTATAAACGAGGTGCTTTTTCTATGACAAATACTTATTATTATCTTAAAATGATTTAAATCAAAAATTTGTATAGATGGCCATCTATGAAACAACAGGGGAAACTGTCAAATGTCACATTTTTACATTTTATAAACACAACTATAAAGGTTATAACTTGAAATGTATTTTGAAAATTGACAGTTTTTCACAGTGAAAGTAAAGGAAATGTTTTATGAGGACTTTACAGTAGAGTCCGTGCCCGAATTTAAGTTATAGTTTACTGCCGGCGAAATTAAGAGGTCAGTACAATGTTCATATAAACTTTTCAAATATTGGCGTTGAGAACTATTTAATATTTTTGTATTTTTGTATAGAGATAATAAAATAATTTTTACATTTAGTATTATTTTACAAGAAAGGCTCTTTATTTTAACGATTGTGTGACATTTGACAACTGTCAACTAACTTAAAACTAACTTCAGCCCGTGACTAAAAACCTGTTGCTAACTTCAGCCCGTGACTAAAGCGCCGTAAAGCCACAACTTGTCAATGTGTATTTAAAAGGTCACTTAGTGTCATGGAAACATGTACGATAAAGGGCGTTTTAAAGGTGGGGGTAGAAAAAGTATATTATGAAACTCGTTTTATCAAACACTTTTTCGCAAGCTCGTGCCTAATAAAACTCGTTTCTTATTATAAACTTGATACATAATATACTTTATATACTATTATTTACGACGAATACAAAGAAGAATTAAAGCAAATTTTATTTGATAAACATTTGACAACTGACAACTGTCAACAAATTTAACCTCACTTTTCACCAATTTATTATAAAGCCAACTTCAGCCCGTGACTAAAACGCTATTAACTCACAGCTTGTCAATGTGGAAGTATATTTCTTTTACATATATTACGAGGTAGATTACTTTTTATTTACTAGTGTAAGTAAAAAAAAATTATTAAAGCTTTCAGACTGAAATAATTCCCATCCAGTATGTTATTTTCCACTTAATTTTCGTTTGATAAAACGGTCGACGTGGCCGACATTAATGCGATAATGAACATGTATATTGGTTGGTTTAAAATTCATAACGCAATCCTTTCCCAAATTACAATGTGTGTTAGCATACACTAACATGCTACTATCAAAACAACATTAATTTATAATTTATTGGAAGTAATTGAACGACTGCTGTGCAACATATGCTCTTTTAGCACGTTTGTTTTGGTTTGGCGTTCCGCTTTTCGCTTTTGACAGTGGCAGTGACATTTCTTTATGCCGTGCTATTTAAAAACCAAAAATGAGTTGTAAAAACGATTAAGTTTCCTTAAAAGAAGAGTATTAAGACAAGGCATGTAAACACAAAATAAAGCAACAGAAAATGAATACAACGAAAGTCTAAAGAGAAGAGCAGAAAACAAAGACAAGAAAACCATAGAAGGTAAAAGGATTGTCTAATAGTTAAAAAAGTAACTTTTAATAAATAACTTAATACAGATGTGTTTTTTATAATTTACTTTAAAACTGCTGGATCTTCTAGACGAGAATGACAGATTGATAATTTTGTTTGGACACAGTCATCATTATCGTTTATTATTGCTAGTTAACAAAAATTTATATGGCACTTTTACAGGCATAAGTAATTTTTTTTAAGTAACTTTCAGAATACCTAAGAGCTAAATATCGTTATAGGAAGCTCTAATTTAAAGTGAAGATTTATTTCAATATTTCAAATAAACCAAGCTCACACTTATATCAGAGTATTCAGAAAAAGGTTCCAGATGTATCTTACTCTTCCTTTCTAAATATTTATTTTTAAACTTTTTTTGTCTTTTTCCCGCCGTTTCTATTTTCCCTTGATGTAGTTTTAAGGTCAGCACAACTCATGTTACTTGAAAAATCTTTGCTTTTGAAAAAAAAACTTGTCGTCAACATTATTTATTTTACTCAGAGCGTCTGTCGCAGCTAAGTTGAAGAGTACATTTAATAGTTTTCTATATTTCCATATCTTTTTTTTACAGAAAATGCAACAAGGGAATGCTTCGGCAACGCAACGTGGCAAACCAGAGCAAACTATGATGCTTGTACCGAAATCCCGTCAGAAGATTTTGAAGATTCTGAAGTACATCTTACCATCTACTTCGTGGGCTACACAGCCAGTCTTATTTCATTATTATTAGCAATAGGAATTTTCACTTATTTTAAGTAAGTAACACACAATAATTGTTTTTCATATAAGTCCTTTATTTCTAAAAACACTTGTTCCCTATTATTATATTATATATATATATATATATATATATATATATATATATATATATATATTAGTGGTAAATTTATAGGAGTTTAATGTGCAATAACTTGGATAAAGTTTAATGGCTTTTTATTGATCATTAACGTACAAATACAATTACACGAATTATATTATGAAATTCTCTGTGCTACAGTCTTAAATTTCCTCATAAAAATGTTAATTTCAAGCTAAAATTACGTTTATCTCACACCATTAACCATAATCACTATTTTGATAAAAACAATGGCATTGTCTGTTGATTTTTAGGTCGTTGGTGCCTTAACTTTTATTGAGAAATAATAATAATAATAATATCATTTGTTGTATTTTTTGAAAATGGAAGAATATATTTATTGATATTATTGGGTATGTCCAAGGGGCCTGGAATACTTCGAACATATGGTTTTTGACATTTATCAAGATATCTTAGTTTTGTCCATAGTTTCTTACTATGATTATTACAATACCCTGTACAGTACTCCAGATATGTATTTTAAAGTTGATTTTTTAGATTTTTATAGTACTGCCAGTGAACCTGATTTCTCGTGGGTATTACTAAACGCCTTATCTTTAAATGTAATCATATTTTTTATGGGATATGTTAACCATGATGGGGTTTTCTTAGTAATTTCTATATTTATTATATATAGGTGCTAAAGTATTAACTATATTAATTAAAATATCAATAAAAAAATCAAGTTTGTCATTTATATATTTTAACTCTTATTAAGTCATTAAATGGATCATTATTTAGAAAAAACAAATAGAAAATCCCTATGAATACTTTTTAAATTTTTAGGTTAAATTTTAACAAGGAGAGTATTTAGAAAAGATAAGTTTACTGTGCAATACACGAGTTGGTGATCAGATATATTTCATACCTCTTTGGTGCCCCAAGTAGACACAGTTGAGTTTATATACTAAAAATCGTTTTTCAAGTCAGTAAAATGACACTTCAGTGGTTTCGCAGAATGTTAAAGTTTTCATTTATTATCATGGCAGCAAATTACTTTATTATTATTTTGTAAAACATTTCAATTAAATTTTAGAACCATTGACTGTTCAAATTATAAGAATAAAACCATAGAAATTCACTATTTTTTGGTTTAAAATGCCGGTTTCATCCAATTACATTATAAATTTTCAGCTATTAAATTAATTCAGTTTAGTTGTTTTAACGTTGTATATTTATAATTACCTATATTCAAGTACATGCGTTCTACCGCAGCGAATTTAATTTGACGGTTAATTAAAATTGTGTTGATTTTACATTTAATTCTACCAAGAAAACTCATTTCATCTTTATTAAAGATAACATTATTTTTTTCAGGGAACTTCGATGTTTAAGAAACATCATTCACATGAACTTGATGTGGTCCTACGTCCTGTTTTGTGTGATTTACATATGTGTTTCATTAATGGTTAGTGATTTTTTACTAACATTTATTTTACTAATTTTTTTGTTTTTAGATTGTATTTGGAGGACTTAGTAACACAAACTGTATATATTTTGCCACCATTTTAAACTTTGCACATTTAACCACCTTTTTCTGGATGTTTGTTGAAGGTAAATATACCGAGTGTAACTATATTGCTTAACCCTTAAAGAATAAAAAAAAAGTTTTATGCATAATACAGTTCATTTTTTTATCTGGACTCGTGTTTTTTGTTAGGTTGGTGGCTTATACCAGTTTGACTTAGTATTTTTAGTATTTAAAATGGTACTTCTGATAAAGAATTTAATTAAATACTTTGACACTGTCAAATTGACAATAATATTTATTGATAATTTACTTGTCAATTATAAATAAAAAGATAATTATGCCAAAAATAATAGCAACGAATTCGAATGTAAAAGCCCTTTTGAGGGCAAAACTTCATTTTGATGAAATTATGCCTTATGGACATTTTTGGAGTAAAAAAGTAACGAATTTGGTTTTATAAATATTACATCACACATTATTTTCACATTATTCACCATTGGACAACATTTACGTTCACAAAAAATTTAAATTTCTTTCATATAAATTCTTTTCAAAGCGAAGATTATTATCCGCTAGGAATACTTTCTCTTCTGGGCCGTAAAGTAACCTATATTTAACTACTTTTTTATATGATTTTACTCATCCAAGCACCAACAAAGCCAAATTAATTGAATTTTTAACTACGAATTTCGACAACTCAACTTGACAACTGCACAATGTAACCTACAATAATTTATACATAACCACAATTAGATTTATAACTAGCTTAGTTTGTTTTAATCAATGCGACCAACTTGACAACTGTATTTACCAAAACCTTAAATTTGCAACCTTGCCGCAGTCCAGATAAAAAAAAATTAACTTTACGTATAATTGAATGGGTGAGATCAAGAACAGTACAAGTCCAAAATTTAAAATTTTGACAAATTATTTTATAAAATTATTTTTATAGTTTAAAATACATTTTTGTGGAAATGTTTCAACTATTGAACAAAATATGGTTAATAAAATAGTTAAAATGTTCTTAAAAAATGCATTTTAAACTAAAAAAATGATTTTATAAAATAACCAGTTTAAATTTTGGATTTTTACTGTTTTTATTTCACCGATTTAATTATAAATAATATCATTCTGAAAAAAATATATTTGTTTATTTGATTAACTGATTTAAGGGATACTGATTAAAATAAGTAGGTTTATAACAAACAAACACGACCATCCATAAAATCAGCACATTAAGATACAATTATTGGTCCTTTGAAATAAACTTTGTGTCTATTTTATTTTAAGGCCTTTATCTGTACATTCTTGTTGTGGAAACTCTGACAAGAGAGAATTTCAAATTACGAATTTACGTCTCCATCGGATGGGGTAAGTGACTACACCAAATTTAATTTTATCTAAGCTTCTTGAGGCAAAGGACAAAAGTTAATTAATGAAGATTGCATTGTTAAAGGAATTTAAATACAATTAAAGCGCGGTTTACATTTGAAATTAACGTTTTTGTACTTTGCAGGAATGCCCATGTTGATTACCATCATCTGGATTGTCACCGCAAGTCTTGTTGCTCCAGCTAACTATGTAAGTATGGCCTTAATACCTATTAATTTAAGCTATGGAGTGTAAAGTAGACAGTTATCAAAAACTTTATAGTTATTGGACAATTAGCATTAATACTGTAAAAACAAGAGTTCTATAAATATTTACCTTAAAGTTAAATCATTAGATGACGCTGTATACAATTATAAATATCTCAGTCGGTAATAATATACAACTACTTTATTTTGGGTCCATTTTTGTTTTTTTTGTTAAGAGCAGAACTGTGTTTAAATTAAAATAAAAAATATTTTTAAAAAGTGTACAGATCAGTGTGTGGTATAAATGTGTTCCTCATGGTTTAAACATTGTCACTTTAATGCGTTTTAATTTTAATTCTGAAAACAAACAGTAAAATGCCCAGTGTCCAATTTCTGGTTGGTAAAAAATGTAAATTTCTATTATTGGACATATGTCCAATATCATACTCTATTTGATCCCGGACATTTACCAGCCAATTCTTATGTAAAATTGTCCCCTGAATCCGAAAAGACCGTCAAAAACTATAAAAGTTGAGCAGTTTTTGAGATATAGTCAATTCCATATTATATGTAAAATTGATTATATTTCAAAAACTGTTCTGCTTTTATAACTTTTGACGACATTTTCGGATTCGGCGAATAATATTTCATAGAAATTGACTGCTAAATGTCCTGGATACAAATTGCTGTTGACGAGAATTATTATTATTGGCTGCTTTTTCGCTATGATATTTTTGACCAATTCATTTTTAGAGAGTAAATAATATAGTAATTTCTTCGTCACAGGACATCTTGCAGAATAACAGTGATTTAAATACAGTGCTTGATAGAGAACATAAATAAACTAATGGCAACAAAATTAATAAATTCCGAAAATACTTTTAACGTACCACCCGAAAAAATATTAGATATATATAAATCATCCTGTTCCGGCCTAAACATAATAAATGCTTCACAAACTAGAGATACCACACTTAACTATACTTGCAACAAACTATTTCAGAAGTCAGACCAAGGAATTAGTAGTTACCTCAGACTCCAGAAACGTGATGAGGAATCCGAGAAATAAATATATAAATTATTTGACATTTACAAAAACGAAATAAAAAAAATTACCTAAAACAGCAATAATATATATAATATTTAACAATTTATGTTATTTGATGTAAATTTATTATGTTTATACAAAAATTGTATGTCCAATAACTATGGTCCATGTGTCCAATTATTATATAAAATGTCCAATTACTATACTTTTTTGCATGTTTTTATAAAACTATTATTAAAAATTCAAATATTCTTATTTTTAAGTAAACTTAAATAATGTTTAAACAACCAAACTATTCTTTTTATTTATTTATAAGAAAAAAATAAAGTCTTTAAAACAACGGCATATATAAATTTTAAATAAATATTATTTCTTAGGTGTCCAATAACTATGTGGTTTAGCCTATTGTTTAAAATAATTAAAACAAATTTTAAGTCAGTTCTACCAAGCTATCACGGACTATCATGGACGAAGTCTAAAATTAGACAAACTTATTTTTGTTAAATGCAGATTTTCTTCCCACAAAGAAATACCCATATACCTAACTTCATTAATAACGGTCAAGTGGCTTGTTTGGGATAAACATGTCATAAGCATAAGACAACAGTTTTAGCCTGGTTATATTTAGTTTGATAAATTGGTTGACGTTTTAATTAAGAAACTGTTTGTTCCATTAATTATTGAAATTTTACCTCATTGTATCATTATAAATAAAACAAAGTAAGTTTTTCATTAGTGAAGTGTGATGTCTTCGTAGAAAATTCATAAATAAAGCATTCAAAAGTTTACGGGAAACTTTTAGTGCTTCCTGAATTTTGATGGAAATACTTTGAATTTAGAAAGTCTTTCCCACAATGCCAAAAGTTGATTTCAAAAATTTAAGCCTAAAGTTTAATTAAAATTTACGACAATATAAATGAAAAGACAATATTGGATTGCTCGAACAACTTGTATTGTTTTATACAGGGTGTCACCAAATAAGTTCTTATCCTTTAAGGGGATTATATAATCTATATAGCCAAAATAAGAAAGTTTTTCTTCTTAATTTTTTTTCTTTTATTCATTAAATTTTGTATAAATTTTAGGCCGCCACTGGTTCTTCCTGACCGTGGTTTTCCTTTCGATTTTAAATTTCACTTTTTACGTCGATTATTGCTTATGGGTGAATATATTGAGATGTCCCCAAGTGAAAATGATTATTTTTTATTTTTGATTGTTTTACTGTTAGTCTAGAATGGAGTTTTTGTGAAGCCACCAGGTCTGGTAATATAATAACATAAATGGTTCTGCACTAATGCAAGAATTTTAAGAAATCATACATTTTGAATATTAGAGCTTCACGGAGGTTAGGATTTCGTATGTTTTTTTTTAAACATCCCTTTGTATATTTGAAATAAGTTATTGTATCTTTTGATACCTTAATATTTTTTAAAAATACAATTGTACATACATAAAATATTTATAAAAAAAATCTACTTACTGAGATATTACACTTTACGATGGATAGGTTTTTAAATAGCAAATAAATGAACTTAAACTTTTGAATTATAAAACAGCAACACTCTCATCTGCATATAAATTCTAACTGACCTTCAGGAATCACATGCATCTATAATGTCGTAAACAGAGGTTTTTGCTTATTTAAAATGATTAAAGCCCCATCCGTTGTATAAAATTTAAAACAAAAACAGATTCACGGAGGATAGAATCAATTTTTGTAACACCTACATAAATGGTTTTAAAAATTATTTCTTTTAATTTTTAATAATATTTTATACCACCTCAGATATTTGAAAACATATAGGTTAACCTAGAGTAACAGTCACGGAGGATAGGTTTTAGACTTTTAAAACATTGAAAAAAATAATTAATTGCGGTTAGAAATCTGGAACCTGAGCTGTAATATCTACTTAATTATAAAAGATCAAAACACGATAAAAGTGTAGGTCAAACTCATTTAGTTTTATTAAATATCACGGGGTAACACCATCGTGGAACATTTCGTGTTCCACATAATAGTTCCAAATTTGACCTTACTTTTTGACCATCCTGTATAAACTGTTATTACAAAATTATCGTTTTAGGGTTTTTTGGGTATAACAAATTCAGAAAAGACCTTCGTTTTGAAATTAAAAAAATACCTAATAACTTTTGAAGTTTCGGAGACTTTCTATTAATCATATAGAGCCATGGAAATGACATATGACATTTTTTTTCCTTTAAAATCGGTCTATTCTTAAATAAATACCGAATTATCGCCAATCAAATGAAACAAACTTTATATAATAATCAAAATTAAGGTAATTTTAAAATATAAGCGAAGAAATAAAAAAACATTTTGGGATAATTATTAAGAAAGGGTTGAAACCAGCATACTTTCATTGAAATTGAAAAATAAAATAATCGCCAATTTGCCGAGAAGCTGCTAAAAAACTTGAAAGTGGTTTCCACTTAAGGGAACATCATTCGTGCTTTTACCTCATCAGAAGCCGCATTTACCTTCTTTTGCAGACGCAAAAGGATTTTTTCTGCCAACTATCGAATACTTTAAGCCAGTCGAGATTTTACTCACTCAAACTGTTTTACATGTAAAACAGTTTGAGGTTGGTGCACCAACCTTGACTTATTAAATTAACGTATTCAAAAAATACCAATAACACTATGTAACAAAATTTGAATTTTGTTTTGTTTATTGGATTTTTTTGTTAAATTATCAATATTTGTGTGCGAAAACCTATTCTAACTTAATTTAAAAAATTTAGTAATAAGTTTTTATTTTTTAATGGGTATTTGTATAATATAATCAGGCCCAGTTTTATCAAAAACAAAAAAAAATATTGACAAGAAATGGCAAGAAATTCAACTCAGAATTATTATTTTAACAAAACATACAATCCAGAAAAATATTTTCTTAACGTAGATTTTAAATCTTGGCTCAAAAATAAATTTTAATACGACTTTTTCTCTTTTATATGATGCATTTTCTTCCCGAAGTAGATTCCAAACATAGTCACCCATCATTGTCGCATCCCACCTTCCTTGTTATCACTTTTTCATTGCCCGAATATCTTGATGGAATCTTTCTTCATGTTCTTTGCTGACATCTCCCAGATTTTCACGGAAAAAGTCAAGATGCGAATGCAAATAGTGTAGGTACTTTCAACGACATGCGGTATCCCATTTCTTTAAAACTTCCTAATAAAACTTTGACAAGGTCAGTATAATTTTCTCTTTTGTGGTTACCAAGGAAACCTTTCATTTAAAGTCTCACGTTAACTTTTGAGTTTAAAAAATATGTATTATAATCCAATTATTCATTTTTTTACATGTTGTCCACAAAGAAAGTTTAATGGCCAAAATCTTACGTGAGGGATGAGGACCAATTTTAGCACTGATTGATTTTCCCCCTCGAATCATTTAATTTTTATTTTAAACATTTTTCAAAGTTTCAAGTTAAATGATTCACCCTGTATATAGTATATATTCTTATTTATAGTGTCCTTTGATGTTGGACGAGCACCCAGTAAAATGGCTTCTAGTAACACCCATCTTGGTGGTCCTAGCTCTGAACATGATATTTCTCATCGCTATAATGTGGGTGTTGATCACCAAGCTACGTTCAGCCAACAGCATCGAGGCACAACAGTATCACAAGGCATCAAAAGCATTACTTGTACTTATGCCTCTGTTGGGAATCACCTACGTCATCATACTTTGGTTCCCTATCCAGAAGCACCAAAGATTGTACTTTGATATATTTAGAGCCGTCACGCTATCATCACAGGTGAGTTTTTAAAAATGTTTTTAATAAATATAGGTACCTACACTGAAAAAAATAATCTTTTTAAAGAAATGAAAATCACTTTGATTTAAAAGATTTGCGCTTTTGAATAGGGCCAAGAGCTATGTTTCTTAATCCAAATCAGAAACTATCTTTAAATAAATTTCTTTAAATTACTAAAGGGAAGAGTAATCTATTCGTTTAAGGATATTACAATATTAGCTTAAATCAAGAGCAAGCGATTTCTTGGTACAAGAACCAAAAATATATCTTCATAAGATATTTCTCTTTTGAATGAAAAGCGCAAAAAAATGGAATTTAAACAGTAAAACTGCATCTCTTGACTGAAAATCTTAAGAACTTTCAAAAAATGGAAATTTGTCTTGCTACAAAAGCATATACTATTGACCTAGCCACATTTTATTTTTATTTTAGAGCAAATATCTTTTGGTCCAATAGTGTGTATTGCTTTATTCAAAAGCTACCAGCGTTGTTAGTAATTAGTAATTTTTATTGCATACATTACAATAAAATGCTTCAGCATGGTCATGATTTTAAATATTAAATATTGATCATTACTTAGTAATATTTATTTTTCCCAATTAATATAAGAAATACTTTTTTGTTTGTTTCAAACAACGTTCTTAATATTTAACATTATTGAACTTGGCAATTCCTTTTTAATTATTTTTTTACAAATTAAAATAATGTGTTGTGTTTTCTTTGATCTTTTTTTAATTAGACTAATTATAAATTTAAATTACAAGTCTTTGTATTTTTGAACAAAGATTTTTTTATTAATTAAATAAAAATTAAACTGTAGTGTACCATCCCAAGTAACACCAATGTTTTTATTGCGATCTCCAAGGTTTAAAACTATACAATAAAACTTGCAGACTAAATTACCTTAAGAATCAATATAGGTAATTAATCCTAAAAGCGTTTTATTTTGTTTACTAAAGTTGGACAACTTTTATGTGATATAGTTAATGGCAGAGTGGTCATATTTTAAACATAACGCCATACGGAAAAAAAGCTATTATATATTAAAGATTAATCATCTCAGTCCAAGTATACTTGTATGTACGTTCATCTCACCTTTTCGCAAGTATAGATACTTTTTATTTATGGATTGATTCATTCTTATTTGAAATTTAAATTGATACTTATTTGAAGGATATAGGGACTTGAATGCAAGAACTAACATTTACTTATTTGGATATACTTTCAATGTTAGGTGCAAGGGTAAACTTATTCTTAATTAAAGAATTGCAAGTTTATAAAACATTTTAAGACTTACAAGACTTAAAACATTTACCACTTAAAGTACAATTACTCACGCAAACGTCTATTTACTTTTCATTTTAAAATTATGTTGCTTTAATAAGTTTGAACTCATGGCCTAATTGATTTATATTGGTCTGGCGCGCGAATGAAATCCTAACCTTACAAATTGTGCCGTTTTTTTTAATTACCACTTCGTTTTAATTTAAAATAGTTGTCGCTAATATTTTCCATTTTAAATATGTGTTATAATTTTTTTACGTATTAAGTAGATACACAAACTGCACTGGTCAAAAATCGCAAATTAGTTTTAAAATAGGCAATGTAAAAACTAGTATAAGATTAATAGGACATTAAGAGCAAATAGTTTTTTAATTTTAATTTTAAGAGTACATTAAATTATTTGCATAAGAATAAGTGGCCTTTAAGAACTTTCCCAAGGTAAGTTTAAAACCAATATAGTTTTATTGAACATATTAAAGCACTTTTAAACTCTAGGTAAATCAAAAGAATTTTACAATTGTTACTTGGAATGGTATATAGAAAACAATTTGCGTTAACGCAAACTCGGCCTTAAAACTTTTCATAAACTTTCCCAAGAGATTAGAAATTCTAAAACTACACGGAGAGAAATGTTTATTAAATTTTACATAGTAAAAAAATATAGTAAAATTTACTTTAACAAATTTTTAGGGTAACAATATTATATATTCGTCAATACAATATTAAGATTATAATACAAAATACTATTTTTTATTATACAATTTTAGTAAAGATTAAAACACCAAAATTACTAAATCATAAATGTAAAATATATATTTAAATTTTTAATATGTTCGTATAGTAAATTGATTGTACTATCTACAAATAGTAATATTTACTATATAATTTAATCAAATGTAAGGTGTACATCTAATATTATAATATATTACACATTAATAAAAATATAGTAAAAATAAAGATACTTTTATGATTAAGGTGAATAAACAATATATTTAAATATAATATACAATACAGTTACTCATGACATTTTAAATATTTAATTTTCTTAGTTTCTTCAATAAACTTTCTTGGCCCATAACTGGTAATACTTATAAGAAAGAATTGAACCTACTTGGTTGCATATAGTATGTACCGATTGCGGCAAAGGCCAGGTCGCGACGCGTCGTAAGACGGTGTGGATCACGTGATGTTCTTACATCTCGCCTCTGTTGGCTTACCAACCATGTTATATAAGCTCAGGTATTTCTTTGTTTTGGGTGTGTTCCACTACTACAAGTTGCACTACAGTGTCGTGTCGACACTGATGATACCCAATATAGGTCAAAACATCTGTCTGTCGGTATTTGAAGTTGGTGGAACGCACTCAAAACAAAAAACTTTGGCGAGGTGTAGGTTCAATTCTTTATCATAACATTTTTGTAAAGTACAATAAATATGTTACCATTTTTAATTGTTAAAATATAAAAATATTCGATTTTAAAATATTTTATATTTAAAATGGCAACGTAATATTTTAAAATTTACTATGCTTATTAGTAATGGAACAAATCTAATTATAATAAGAATTAAAAACAAAATTGGTTGAGAATAATAATATTTTACCTTAAGGTTTATCATACATGTATTTTTAAAAATTACTAAATATGCATAGTATCTGGCAATATACAAGATAGTTGTCCCAAATAGTAATATAAATTATAGTAAAGGGTATTATAATTATGGTAATCAGCATTTTCTCTCCGTGTATAAAGTTTTTATATAATTTCTTTTTGATAAATATTTTTATAGTGTGGGCGATTTTTAAATAAAAAAATTCATGTAGATAAAATATTTTATATTTTTGGGCATCATTGTATATTTTTACATTTTTTATTTTAAATTGACATGTATTTTTAAGTAAAAAAAATAATATTAAAAATTTGAATTGATTTTATGTTTTTCTAACCCATGTAGTTAGAATCTTAAATTTTATTCCGTGAATATTACTATTTCGACAATCAAAACATTTTATTTCCTTGGAGGAAAGAATACCCTTTATGTAGCTTTAAGGAAAGAATTTTATTTATACATAGATTTTTACCATTTCCCAGTCATTGCATCTAATCAGCCAAAATTCAATTTTGAAAGGGATATTTTATATATTCTCTGGAATTTTATACGTACTGTCGCCTTACCTTTATGATGAGGATTCCAATTTTAGAAGATATTTTTTCTTTACGAGGAAAGTCTTTCATGTTTAATAGTATATTATGTATCAAGTTTGATAAAAGAAATTTTAGTCACGAGTTCTATTAAGACACAAGCTAGCGTGCGAGCGAGTGCTTAATTAAATAAGTGTCTATAAAAGTTTATAAACGAGGTGCATACGAGGTGTGTTCAGAAAATAACGGGAATTGTTAAATTTCGCGGCTTCGGAGGGTCCGGTTGTCATAAAATTTTATTTATTATGTTTGTATATATGCCTCCGAAGTATGATAAAAACTTTAGCTGTTTTCATTGTTTACTTTGTCTGTGGCAGCCGCTAAGGTTAAACGTGTTTTATAAGCTCGGCGATTTTCGTTCGTTAAAAGAAATGGATCAAAGAGAATTTGCTTAAAAAATGAAATAAATTCTGTGAAATGTTAACAAAGGCCTAAAGTGAGTCTGCTATAAGTAAAACAAGAGTTTACAAGTGGTATAAGAGTTTCCAAGATGGCCGTGAAGACGTTGAAGATGACGAACGCCCCGAACGCACAAGTACATTAACAACCGATAAAAACATGGAAAAAGTGAAATAAATGGTTATAAACCATAAGAGAAGTCGCTGATGATGTTGGTATATCGATTGGCTCATCCCATAATTTTTTAAAAAATGTTTTAGGTATGAAACGCGTGGCATCAAAATTTGTTTTAAAATTGTTAAATTTTGAACAAATTTTTTGGCCAAAAACAATACTGTAATGATGCCCCAGCCTCCATATTCGCCAGACATGCCTCTGTCTGACTTTTTCCTATGCCCAAAAATAAAGAGAACCTTAAAGGGCCGTCGTTTTGCAAGCATAGATGACATTAAAAGCGCATCGCTGAAAGAACTAAAGGCTATCTCAAAGATCGAGTTTTAGAAGTGTTTCGAGTATTGAAAGAAGAGCTGGCAAATGTGCCTAATATCCAATGGGGACTATTTTGAAGGCGACAACATTAATATAGACGAATAAATAAATATTTATTTCAAAAAACGAAAATTCCCGATATTTTCTGAACACACCTCGTACTATACTTTTTCTACGACAAATACTTAATATTGTCTAAAAATTATTTAAATTAAATATTTGTATAGAGCGACATCTGCCGTAAGAATGGAAATCTGGATTATCAGCGGCCAATGTCAAATTTTTTTGTGTAAATAAAAATTTATCCCTTCAAAATAACAACTATTTAAATCCAATAAAGAAGCAGTTTTTTACAGTCAAAGTAAAGAGAATGTTTTATGGGCACTTCACAGAGGAGTCTTCACGCGAAATTTTTAATGCTTTATCTTGTTGCACATTCTGTATTTCTTTGTATTTTCAAACAACAAATACGAAAAGTTTATTTTTCAGAAGCTAACTTGTATAATTTTCAATCATAGGATTCCCTAAATAATAAATAAATTAAGGTTTATTTCCACATTTCAGTCCAATCCGCATAGAACAAACATACATAAATAAAAACAATTGCGTATGTGAAGTGATCAATACAATACACTCTGGGGAGTCTGCATTACATAATATCATGAAATATTTGCAACTTTCAAATGTATGGTATGTGTTGTTTATTTGGGTAAATGTTCCAATGATTTATCCCTAAGTTTTTTTTATAAAGCTGACCGAGTCGCTTTAAATTTCCTTATTAAACCATTTTGATTAAAAAAATTAACAATTTGTAATCCTTCAGCATAATTTGGGAAAAGGTTTAACCCATACCAAATCAACGAATTTAATTTAAAAAGGTTTCAGACAAAATTTATTTATTATTTATTTTTTTACTTGCAAAAAACTGAACATCTAAAAAATTAATGAATAACTGTTTTCAAATTTGTAAGTTTAGTGCAGACATGAGTAAAAAAATAAAAAATTTGACTTAGATTGACCTAGAGGTGAATATATTGAGATGTCCCCGAAGTGAAAATGATTATTTTTTATGTTTCACTGTTAGTCTAGAATGGGGTTTTTGGGAAGCCACCAGGTCTAGTAATAATAACATAACATAAGTGGTTCTGCACTTTATAAAAAAGGTTTTTAAATAGCAAATTAATGAACTTAAACTTTTGAATTATAAAACTCTCATCTGCATATAAGTTCTAAATGACCTTCAGGAATCACATGCATCTATAATGTCGTAAACAGAGGATTCACGGAGGATAGAATCAATTTTTGTAACACCTACATAGATGGATATAAAAATTATTTCTTTTAATTTTTAATAATATTTTATATTTGATTCGATTGCTTTGGACGTGTTGAATTTACTTAGTGAACTGATATTTTTAGTATGCTTTTACTACCTCAGATATTTGAAAACATAAAGGTTAACCTAGAAAGAGTAACAGTCACGGAGGATAGGTTTTAGACTTTTAGAACATTGTAAAAAATAATAAATTGCGGTTAAAATCTGGAACCTGAGCTGTAATGTCTACTTAATTATGAAAGATTAAAACACAATAAAAGTGTAGGGCAAACTCATTTAGTTTTATTAAATATCATGGGGTAACACCATCGGGGGACATTTCGTGAGATTCACCCATAATATCAGAATTGCAAAGGACATGATTACCACGAGCAGTTTGAAATAGAACATCCTGTATGTATATATTTTTTGTTACATAAAAATAAATAGATTACTTAAACTTTTAAAGACAATCAAAATCGATCGAAAGTATCTTCTTTTTTATCCTCCATATCTGAAAAAGTGTAGCGAACTTTGTTAGGAATATAAAAACTCATTTTTAAGGACCATTAACTTTTTGTAAGCTGCTGTTATAAAATCATTTGGTGTTGAATGGCCTCAACAAACTAAATTAAATTTTACGTTTATGTACCGATTTTTTTTTAACAAACGTTTTCGTCCAGAAACCAAAGTTTTTTAATTACATTTTTTGTGGCTTTAAAAGTTTTATTTTGGAAAACAAATTGCTTTTGCACGATATTTCCGTTTTTCACCTCAAATTTGAATGCGTATGTGTACTCCAAATTTATTTAATTTAGCCCGTATTGTTGATACGCGTTCTTTATTGGCATTGCGCCTGTTCGACGGAATATGCACTCACACTCAAACATACATACATCATACATCAACAATAACAATTCTTACTTTGTTTAGCATATCAAGTAGCTCGTAAAATAAGTTCTTTTGTATTTGGCATCAATGTAGGCGCCGTAAAGACAAAATAAAAGAATGCGAGGGTGCGTACAAGAAGAAAATTTTGTGCCCACAGTATTTGAAATAATGCCTCCTTTTGACATTTGATCCAACGCGAGAATATAAAAGCATCTGGTGTGGTTAATTATTTTTTTTCATATACAGGGTGGCCATTTTTTATCTTAAATAAATTCTTTACAAAAATTTAGTTTGGCCAGATAAAAGGACGGACGGAATCATGAACGCCAAAATTAGGACGGACGGAATTTAGAACGCCAACAGGACAACCTTAAAGGGGATGTGCAATGTTGGGCTAAAATATTATATTTATGTATATATGCATTGTATTGTATACATGTCAGGTAACTGATATAAAATTTACATTGTTATAGATATATACGCAAGAAGAATATTTATTGTTATGATATTTCTGCGAATGCTACAGAAAAAACAAAACTGAAATGATGGAGGAAAACTGGTATATGAAAATCAACCCATTTCATACGTATGATTTTATTTGTTAAGGAAATTAAAATTAAAAAATACACAACTATACACTTTTGTCAAAAGCCACACATAAAGTCATAATAAGCAAATTAACTGTTAACAAACTAATGCAATTTTAATTAGAAACCAGCCATTCGCTGACTTTTGTTTATTCCTGGTTTAACTAATATTTACGCATCAAATATTATCCGGTGAATTGTGCATTAAACATTAATGTACCTTAATTTCTATATTTCTTTATCAATGCTGAAGGTGTTTTATTAGGTTAGATAGTTTATTTTACCCCTTAATTACAGAACACAAAAAGCTTTCATAATAAAGTTACTGTACAACTTCCTTTGTAACTTTGGTCTAAAAAAACCTATTTCATTAAATATAGGATTGACAAAAGCAATTTTAACGGAGGGGGGTTTTTAAAGGGTATATTTAATGAACATATTATATTTAAATTTGTAAAATTCATTTAATTATAAATTAATATAAAGACCAAGTTGATGCTTGTAAAACTAAAAAAATCTAGTTGCATATTTAGGAAAAAAGTAACTGAAATTTTTGGGTCAAAATTTCTAATAAGAAATAACATGTTTTTAATTAATTTCAGGGATTTACTGTAGCTCTACTGTACTGCTTCCTTAATACTGAAGTCAAAAACGCGATTCGTCACCATTTCGAGAATTGGAAGGCCAATCGTTCGCTGGGTCCAAGTAGGAACAGATCAGGGAGTCGCAGCAAGGATTGGTCACCCAGATCCAGAACTGAAAGTATACGGTAAGTAACAAAAAACAACTTAAAATGGGACCTAAAATCGAATAGCTAAAATCATAAATTTAATTCATTTGACTCTTATTATTAAACATACTGCACATGCTTAACATATTTCATAAACCATTTACATATAAAACGAAATTTTTGAATTTGCATCCAGTTGGGCATTGTTTATAGGGGTATTTAAATACGTGTGAATAAATTTTGTAATTAAATGCTGCACCAAAGCAAAACAGTCATTTAGAACATAATTAAAGTCTAAGTTTCCCTTTGAAACAATAATCCTCGGTATAAAACTCAAAAAAGCGATGTCATGATATTTAATTGGACAGTAATAGTCTTAAAAAGGATATCAGATCAGATCAGATTTTTCTTCGAGTTACCCAAGATTTAATTTGTCCAAAAAGTTGTTTTTATTTGTACATACACTTTTAAACAAATTTTAATAATAATTATATAAACCTTTTTATTATTAACAATATCAATTGTATTAAAACTAAATTCGATTATATGTCCAACATTTAAAAGCTTTTGCATGACGAAGTTGAATATACATTTATTATTTAATGCTTTCTACCACGACATTTAATTTTAATTTTATTTAAATTATATTGCAAACAATGTAATATTTATAAAAGAACGTGTACACCAAATGTACATTTGTTTTTAAAAATAACAATATATACAAAGTGCTCCAAGTTCCAACCTGGGACACTGTATATTACTATGCATATCCCAATATATTTTTCTTTGGAAGAATGTTATTAGTTATTACACTAGTTTATAAAATGGACAAAAAATTCTGGCCACCATATCCATTATAATTTTTCCATGTATTTTGACCCACTAAACACGAAAATCACAAAAAAATTTATGGAAGCGTTCTTGAAATATGAATTTTCAATTGTTTTTTTTAATTTTCAGAGGTGTTTTGACGTTTTTGAGTATAGCTTGAAATCTAATTGATCGATTTGGTTAAACAAGTCCTTAAAATGAAGGTATTTGAGCCCTCTAAAACTTTATTTTACATACTTTTGATATCGGATAAGTATTTTGACGCTAGCAATATAATAACTTAAAAAATTGATGTCGGAAATTTACATATCATACTGGGAAAGGTTTAAATCAAACAGATAACTCTAGTTTGGATTTTTTTTCGTGAAGCTGACATTTTTACAAAAAAAAACAAGCTAACGTTGATAAAAATACATAACAAAATGGCGAAGTTGTGAATTTTTTAGTGGAATTCAGCTTTTTGACGATTTTTATTTTATTTTTTTTCTTTTATTTCGTAATATGTTTATTTTTTAATGAAAACCTAATTAAAGTGCATTATATAAAATTTAAAACATTATATAAAATTTAAATTTGACATGACTCCGTAAACGTGAATTCTTTTGTTTCTCTTGGCATAGTGATATTTTACTGCTATTTTTTGATATTTTAACAGAGTATTTTTATCATGGTTTTATTTAGTTAATAAAAAGTGTGAAATAAGTAAATAGAGTAGAGATTTCGAGTGCGTAAATAACCCGGACCATCTGGGCGACGTAAGTGATGAGCACGGAGAATGTTTTTACCAGCAAATGAAGGCTATGGAGCGGCGGTATCACGGCTTCTGGGATGCAGCCATGATGGGTGATTACATTTGGTCCCTTATACCAGAAACGGAATACGAAGGCAAAAAAAAAACAAAAAAGGAGACAGATTTTTTTTAAACCTATGCTTATTACAACAAAATAAAACTTTCAATATCTTCAATGTTCAATATTTATTGTTCAATATTCAATATATAATTTAATTTCAATATTTAATGTTTAAAATAAAAATCAATGTTCAATATTAAACTTTATATAACTCAATAAAATGAAAAAAACGTAAAAATTCTCTAAAAAACTGAATTTTAGTCTTTTCCTGAAAAATTCATAACTTTGCCATTTATTCATAGATTTTTATCAACAGCAGCTTATTTTTTTCCTTTAAGTATAATCTATATGTAAAATAAATCAAATCTTTTCGATTTCTATCTTTCCCAAAAAGATATGTAAATTTTTGACCTCGATTTTTGTAAAAAAAGGACTTTTTCAACTTCATAAATCGCCAGTATCGAATTACTGAGCCGATACCAAAACTATACTGGATAAAGTTTTAGATGGCTTAATTACCTTTGATTGAAGTGCTTGTTTGGTCAAATCGATCAATTAGAACTTAAAGTATACTCTTAAACGTCAAAACACCTCAGAAAATTAAAAAAAAAACAATTAAAAATTATTAGTGAGACATGGTGGGCAAAATGGCTCTAAACTAGTGTTATTATTATTATTACTTTATTCCATTATATTTTTATCAACAAAAAACAATTCTTCTTTATCTAAATTGGGCCCCATTTACAGATCCCTAAACGTATATTTTTATTTGTATTGATTTCACACAAAATATTTTCCATTAAGACTTTTAATTCAATAATACCTTTATTTGGATCACTTTACCTAATTCTCTGTATTTTATTTTTTTAACAAACAAATACATAAAAATCAAAATTAAATTTTTAAGGGAAATACAACCTATTGCTTACGTATACTTCAATCAAATCAAAATGTAATCAATAAAATGAAATTCACCCCATATGTTATCAGTTTATTACCTTAACCCAAATATTAGGACGGACGGAATCCGGAACGCCAAAGTTAGGACGGACGGAATCCGGAACGCCAAAGTTAGGACGGACGGAATCTAGAACGCTAAAAACTGATAAATATTGCATTGTTTGCCATCTACAATACTATATTATTCGATAGATTTTTGTTCTTAATATTTAGTTTGACTTCATCGAATTATTATTATTTGTTTGCTATTTTTTTATATAATGCATGTGCATGTTATTTGTCAGAATCACTACCGAATGGACTTCGGTTTCAAACGATGAGGTGACCGACGTCGAGGGGAAATTTTTGACGAGTAACGGCGCCAGTCCCCGCTAAAGAAACACTTCACGTACCGGCCAAGCTTTTGCACGGGGAGTATAAGTTTTCACATTTCAATGGGTTTTTGAGTAAACAGGTTTATAAGCGACTAGTTCTCTTTAATATGATATTTAGAAAGATAAGTAAATATGAAGTACAAGAAGATTTTCGCCCATAATATCCAGTGGTCCGTTGAGCAACATAGCGACAAAACAATAAATCTTGTTTTCCGTGCCACCCTGTATAAATTGCCTCGTGCTTTAAAAATAAAGCAATATCGACTAGGTTAAGGAACTTTGTTTTAATACACTTAAAAGTTTCTAATATTGATAATGTTGTTTTACTTTAGTTGCTACAATGTTTTATCAAAAACTCATTGATTTATTTTTTATTATTTATTTGTATTGTTTTTTGTTTATGTTACACATTATTTTTCCACTCTTCACTCTGTCTTTTAATACCGACTTATCGATTGTGTTGCCCTTAGAGACCTTAATTAATAGAAATCGGAAAACCATAACATAAAACATAAAAGATACTTCCGATCATTTTTGCCAAATTTATTAGTTAATTTATTATTTTTGAGATTATTGGTTTTATGGTTTCAGCAAAAATATAATAAATATGAAGTAGATAAATCAGGCTACACAATACTAAAAAACTTACTGTTATATTAAGCTTAAGTCAACAATTAAAAAATATTGTTTAATAAGTTTACATTTTAAGTAAAAACTATAAAAAATCATTTTTAATGATGAACTTTTAACTTTTTACTTTTATTAAAAGCTTTTTATTATTAAGTTTGTATAATAATTTTAAATATTTAGTATTTTATTTTAAAGCAAACGCCAAAAACATTTCTTAATCAAAATTTGTATGCGTGGTTCTTTAGAATTTTAATTTAAATTTGACCCAACTTGCCGCAACAATTTTACAAATTGGTATGAACGAATCTAACGAATTAAACCGAAACAAAAAGTCCTTTGTTACGTTGAAGACGTGATATTGCACTTTTATATTAATGTTATTTGCTGGTAAAATGCGGAAAATGCAAATGCAATATTCACATCAAGAGAGAATTTTTCCGTCATATACGATGTAAATCCTTTAAAATTTAGTTTGCCTTATTCCTGGGACGGACGGAATCTGAAACGCCATAATTAGGACGGACGGAATGAAGAACGCCAGTACTAAGACTTGAACGTACATAACCTAAAACTGTTGGTTTATATTTTCTCATCAAGAGTTATAAGCAAGATGAAAAGTGAACTAATGTAACTAAAGTGTTTTAAAATGTAGTGCCACCACAATATATCAAATTAAACTTTGATCCAAGAGGCTAAAATATTATGAAAATCTTTAAATATATGTATATACCTATGCATTGTATTGGATACATGTCAGGTAACTGACATAAAATTCACATTGTATTACTATAAGTTATACGTTATACAAATATACGCAAGAAGAATATTTGTTATGATATTTCTGCGAATGCTAAAAAACTGGGATGACAGATAAAGGAGAACATTCCAGGATATATGATTGGATATAGTATTGGATATCATGATTTTATTTGCTACGGAAATACATTCAGGGATCGGTTGTTGCTATACAATGTTGGGTTACTTACTTTCTAGCCTTTAAAATATGATTGTGTAAAATATTAACTAAAGAAATATTACCGATATTTTTGCTTTACTGCCCAAAATCAAATAAACCCTCAAAAAGATCTTGTTATAACTAACCAACTTTTCTAATTACTAAACTAAACTCGATACGTTAGTTTCCTAGATTTTAATTAATTTAAATTTTAAAATAAATCCCATACGTCTATTTTCGCATATTAAATTTAGCCCAGGCATACGGTCTAATGAGAAACAAGGATCGGTATTCGTTATCAAAATTGCTCTAAAACTTTGTGCTTAGTTCATATAGTACAACCTGTTTACCAGGGTAATTGTAATTCATGATGAGGTTAATTTACTTAAATAACTACCACTGGACCTTGTCTCAAATGTTTATACAGGGTGAGGCACT